TATGGTTAGTTCAGGGGCTTAACTTATGGTTTTTGCCAAACAAAAAACGTCTCACAACACCAATCTTTAATTTTATTTAAAATATTTAATTATTTTCACTCAAATTAATAAATAATTTGATATTTCATTTTACCTAAATTTAAATGACACAGAATTAACACCTCATCCGTTGAGGCAGTGTGGTTTTCCCCTTACCTTGAGCTGAGTTCAAACATACTTTGTTAAAAAAAAGAAAAGAAAAGGCCACAGAATTAAATTGCGTGGCAATCGATAACCATTCCCAGGCCCAAGCCCAATTCCGCAACTTCTGAGTTGACTGAAGGTAATAGTCATGTCATGAAGTGATGTGCCGAATTTTCAAAGTACTAATAGATGGGAAATTTTTTTTTTGAAAGAGTGACCTTTGAGTGTGACACTAAAAAAAAAAGAAAAAGTTAAATTCATTAATTTTTAAAATTTTTTTAATAATATATAAAAAAATTAATTTATTAGTTAATAAATATAAATTATTTTATTAATTAAATAAAATAAAATAATATTTTTAAAGATTTTACAATTTTTAACAACTGTAGCCCTCCTGAATAATGAGCATTCCCTGCCCCGTAACTTTATGTAAGAAAAGAGCAGTACTAGGGGCACTCGCCTCCTGCACTCTACGGACAACACGTCCACTTTCATTTGGCCACATAAGTTCGCTCCGGAGTTTTTGAAACGCGACCTCTTAGATCTAAATAACGTGGCCCAATAAAAATGGAAGTGTTGGCCGGAGAGTGGAGGAGGCAAGTGCCCCTAGCACTGCTCGTAAGAGAATTTAAGTTGGACATTTTGTGAGTGAGCAATATGTTGATGGCTGCATTCCAAACACCTCTGCCAAAAGAGATAAGTTGTCATGCAAGTTTCCTAATAAAATTGAATTATGAGCCCTAGCTGGTTCTGGCCAACGTAAGCATTTAGGAATAAAGCAAAAACATATATCAAATCATTTCATATAACTTCCCCATGCATGAAACCAAAGAATAGAAAACAACTTTAATTTTCCATGTCCGGTATCTAGCTAAAGGCGTTAATATCAACCCTGGAACCAATGCATTTGAATATATATGGTCAATATGTTGGCACGTTGTTTGTCCGTAATTGTGTGGCCTCATTAATAATCCTAATGACATATAATGTCACGTACAAGATTATTGTTATAGTCATGATGCATATGGTCTCATGACTCAAAACACTTTTTGTTTGTCTTGCCTTTGTTGGAATATCTTGATTTGTTTAATTACCCGTGGAGTCTAATGGTTCCCCCACGTTTGTTTAAATACTGGTGCATGGATTGATAGAATTGATAAATTCAAGAATTCTCCATCTCTCAGCACTACCATTGTGTGTGTGTGTTTGGGGTTGAGAAAATGTTTCCGAGTGGCTTTCTTTCTTCTGTGCGATGTCCATTTTTCCCAAGGTACGTAACTTACCTTCAAAGTTTATTTTCATTACATAAATAGATCCATATTTGTACTTTAATTAGAAGCCTAACCATCACCATATTGTCATGGATTCATACAGAAAAAGTTCATGAGTCATCAATACTCGCTCTTAATATCTTTACTAACTAAACGAAATGAAAATGAGATTTTGTAATTTTGTTTTTAATATGAAAACAGTTTAGTAATGATTTCAAAAGAAAAAAAAAAAAATGAAAACTAAGGAATGCTAGTTACACTCAATAGCTTTGTACTCAAGTCTTGGTAACAATTTCACATGTTGTCACGCCATATTAATTTAGAGATTAATTTTTTCTGTGCATGACATATATCTCCCAAGTAGCTGAGTGCAAAGAGCTGCCAAATTTCAGCTAGCACTTCCCGTCAAATTTTTTTTTTCGTATGAATTATGATATACTTGTATGCTCTAATTTAAAATTTTTTAAAAGGTGTTAAATAAGGTTTAAAAAATAATATTTATTTATTATAAATTTAAATTTTTATTAGAAAGAAATTTAAATTTTACCTTTTAAAATAAATTTTAAACAAATCTTAAAAAAACTAAAATATTTAATTTTTTAAAAATTTACTAAAATTTTATTTAAAAATTTATTTTATTATTTTTCTCTAATAAAAAATTTTAATTGACAGCAGATGGATTGTACTTTTTAAACTTGGCTTAATACCTTTTTAATGAAGTAAAGTCTTATCTCCAAAATTTTTTTTTTTTATAATGTCTTATCTTAAGATTAGAGACCAAATACAAACTTATTTCATTCATATGACATGAAATCTCTGCTGGTTGCCTTTCAAATTTATTGAACCATTGATGACGGTGTCTAAACCGGGCTTGGACCCATTAGCCATTACTTTTCTTCCATCCATACCATAATTAATTCCTCTGGCGTCAAATCTCGAGATACAAAGGCCCCAGTAGGCACTAGGCACATCCACGTGACGCCAACTTTATTTATCTGGACACAAAATTCGAGATCCCATCACACATTCAGACCCCTCTGCTCTTAAGGGCAGTATAGGAAAAACAACTAAAACGAGCACACGTGTCTATCTATGATTAGTTGGTTCGATAATTGTGCAGGAAGAAGAAGGGCAACCGGGATAGTCTGGAAACTGAAGCCAAAGAACTGCACTTTTGGTACTCCGTTCCCTTCAACGGAGATCCCTCGCTGCAGAATCTCCCAACATTCAGCTTACGATCCGACGGCACCAGGTCAACTATGCTGCTTATTTTGTGCTCCACTCATGGTTTAATTTACTCGCTTACTCAGTGACTCGTTTTCGATCCAAGCTGTTTCTCTCTTTAAATTTTGCAGAGCAGAGGAGTACAGGGTGAAGAAGAAAACAGAAATGTCTGGCAGAGTGTCGAGCTTTTCGGATCTGATACAGCGGGTTACAGCTTCTTGCTTGCTGCACCCACTCGCAGCCGAAACCCCAGACATTCGCCCGACCCTCAACGGTGTTATAGGAGAAGAGGAAGAAGAGTCGTCATTCGAGTACGAATCCAGCGAGGAAGACGATGATGGGTTGAATGGGTATGCGGAGAAAATTGATAAAGAAGAGAAATCAATAACCGGGAATTGGAAGGGAGGGAAAGTGGGGAATATAGCGACGGCTGAGATGGTGATCTTGATGAATGAGGTGTTCGATGCGGTGTCGGCGATGAAGAAGGCGTATGTGAGTATGCAAGAGGCGCATTGCCCGTGGGACCCGGAGAGGATGAGGGCGGCTGACGTGGCCGTGGTGGGGGAGCTGAGGAAGTTGGGGATTTTGAGGGACAGGTTTTGGAGGAGTGGTGGCGGCGGTGGTGGGAGGAAGAGGAGGGGGCAAGTTGCTACGCTGAGGGAGGTGGTGGCACCGTATGAGGCAGCTGTAGAGGAGGCGAAGAGGGAGGTAAAAGCGAAGGACGCGGAGATCCAGAGCTTGAAGGAGAAGCTCAAAAGCGCCACCACCCTTTCTAATGGCGGAGGAGGGAAGAAGGGACGGTCTGTCTCGAGGAGGAAAGTCTGCTGCAGTCAAGGTGAATTTTCTATTTTATCCCTCGTCCTCTCCTCCTTTATTCTTGTTCTTTGTAATTTGACAGGAATTGAAGGGCTACATTAGTAATTAGGAACAAAAAGACAAGGTGCTGAATAAGGTGGAACTGTTCTTTCTAACGAATGCGATCGTGCCACGTTTAACGATCTAACTTGTTGCGTTTTGCTGAGCAGCTCTTGCAGCGGCGCCGGCGCCGGAGCTATTTGAGGCAACGATGAGTCAGGTGAGAGAGGCATTGAAGTCATTCGCGTCCCATCTCCTCTCCCTAATGCGGGCTGCTCACTGGGACATTGCAGCCGCCGTCCGTTCCATAGAATCCGCCACTGCCAACACTGAATCGGGCTTCATCACCACGACGATCACTCCTTCCGTCATCGCAAACCACCACGCCAAGTATGCTCTTGAATCCTACGTTTCGCGTAAGATTTTCCAGGGCTTCGATCACGAGACATTCTTCATGGACGGAAGCCTCTCGTCGCTCCTCAACCCGGATCAGTATCGCCGTGACTGCTTCACCCAGTACCGCGACATGAAGGCAATGGACCCGGTCGAGCTTCTCGGAATCTTGCCCACATGTCACTTTGGCAAATTCTGCTCCAAGAAGTACCTCGCCACAGTTCATCCCAAGATGGAAGAATCCCTGTTCGGAAACTTGGAGCAGCGCGACCAGGTGGTGGCGGGAAACCATCCCCGTAGTCAGTTTTACGGTGAGTTCTTGGGGCTGGCCAAGGCCATCTGGTTGCTTCACCTGTTGGCATTCGCACTTGATCCGGTACCAAACCAGTTTGAGGCTAGCAGGGGAGCCGAGTTTCATCCACAATACATGGAAAGTGTAGTAAAATTTTCTGGCGGACGGATCCCGGCAGGTCAGGTTGTCGGTTTTGCAGTAACTCCTGGGTTTAATCTCGGGAATGGGTCGATTATCAAGGCCGGAGTTTACGCAGTCCCTCGAACTTAAAAGTTAAATGTCTTTGGTTTGGGTAGATGTTGTGCACCTTCGTAAAGTAATGGTCACAAAAACTTGAATCCATTATAATTTCTGCTGTTTTTAGATTTGCATCGAAACTGAACTGCATATTCCTAATGACTAATGAGCAAAAAATATATATATATATATATATATATATATTGGTAATAGCCAAGTAGATTATATAAACTTAGATAGTAACAACAGTTCTGGGAAATAAATTCCCAATAGTATCCGAATACAAAATATGGCCAACGTCAGTAGGACTATTATAATACATAACAAAATGATTAGTAGACTTGGCTCTCTTCTTAGCTAACTGATCTGCAACAGCATTAGCCTCCCTATATATATGTTTGCGCTGCAGATCAGGAATGTGGCCTAACAACATCCTGCAATCAGCAACAAGTGTACCCAATGAGTGATACACTACTAGAAAACG